GCGGAGGGCAACACTCAGTCACTACGACTGATGCAGTGGGTGGAGTATCGATAGCCACCCCATCTGCGCGCCGGTCGTCCTTTCGTACTCGATCACGCCGGACTCTGCAGGACGTTTGGAGTAAAAAGACCCAAGGACGCAGGAAAATTGACAAAACGTAGACCCGCACCAATCCGCCTAGGCTGGTAATGAGAAGCATGGTTAATCATAATCCGCCTAGGATAAATCTTTCGCATTTTACGTGTGGGGGTGCAATACGATGAATCTATATGGACATTTTTGCAACGCGTCGTTCTCGGGGCGGTTAAAGTGAGCAAGAAAGTCACCCTGACAGGGCATCTGCGCGTGCACTCCCAGACATAATGAGAACGTAATCACAGCTACTGGAATCGAGCCAGTAGGTACAATTGTAGAATTCGTAGGCAGGGCTACGAACTAGCATCCTGCCACGAGCACAGAATGTCGGTCTGTGGTGTCGGAAAACCAGCGACTTCAGCCGTTGTAGGACCGCCTCGGCGATGAATCCCGAGATCGGCGAGCCCATTGGTGTTCCCTCCACCTGCTCGTAGATTTTTCCGTTGAACGTAAAGTACGTCTTGGGGCAGAAGTTCAGGAGGTGGATGATTTGGATGTGCCCGAGGCGATTCTCCATTTCGTCGTATTTTTCTCGTAGAAGTAGTTCGATGGTCTCGACTGCCAGGTCCTGCGGGATAGAAGTAAAAAGGGACGTGAGATCGGAGGAAACCATGACATCGCTTGGCAGGAGACTTACTCGATGCATGGCGAGAGCACAAGAAACGGCCCTAACCCTATTCTACGGTCTCCCAAAAGTACTCAAAGAGGGCGCTCCTCTCCGGCCTATCGTATCACTAAAGGGCACTCCAACCTACGGACTGGCAAAGTGGCTGTTCCAACGTGTCAAGTTTCTGACCTCCAATTCAAACACCACAGTCAGCTCTTCAACGCAATTCTTGGAGAAACTTAAAGGAGTAAGTCTCCTGCCAAGCGATATCATGGTTTCCTTTGATGTCGCGTCCCTTTTTACTTCTATCCCGCAGGACATGGCAGTCGAGACCATCGAACTACTCCTATGAGAGAAGTACGACGAAACGGAGAATCGCTTCCGACACGTCCAAATCATCCAGCTCCTGAAGTTCTGCCTCAAGACGTACTTTACGTTCGATGGAACAATCTACAAGCGGAACCGAACCGCTGACTGCACCCCTAAAACAAAACCGCTATGCAGTATGAGTGCGGCGAAGCCGTTCTTGACACTGGGACATATTTTTAGTCAAAAGGCGCCCCATATACGGAGGGAAAGTCCATTTGGCCTGCGTTTGACTACCTTCAGTCGGCGCACTGCATATGACCGCCCGTTGTTTCTGTTCGACAAACCCAACACTTGACGAAAAGTCCGCCAGTCAAATGTGTGCGACAAGAAATTCACAGGTGAACTATCAGTATGCAGTACCCTGTTGGACACCTACGATAGTCTGCACGGACTAATAGCTATAAACAGCCTTCACTAGCAACAGAAAACCTTCGGCAACTGCAAAGTGAAGGACCCGACTTAACTTTCGGTCACGAGTGAGTGGTTGGTAATGGGGCTTTTACGGCTGGGGTAGCTGACGAAATGCAAGAAAACACAGGAATTGTTCGGATTTTTGCTTAAAGTCTCGTCCTACGCTTTCATATGGCAACGGGGATGAGCGCGTTAATTGAAAATAAACAAACAGCAAATTTTAAAAACACGACGGAATTTGGGTAGTGGTCTGGGGTCGTGGGAAGTATTTGTTGTCGGCAGTGTAATGTCTGTAACGGCCCGTGATTGGATGCCAAGGCAAAGTTCCATACGACACGACCCGCAGTCTACCGACAGTTATTTGGGGCACTTCACTCTACCGTGGCTAGCACACAGGCGCCAGGGACGCCGAGGGACGGACGGCCAGCCTACCTTCAAATTTGAACGAGACATGCCACAGTGGCTGCTAATAGAGTGGATATTCTCAAGCAAGACAAGGTCAGATGTGGTTTTGTAGCCCCACTTGAAGGAAACAAACCCAAGCCACCTGTAATAGACAGGACCGGTGGTAATAGGGGTTTTTGCATAGACAACGCATAGACAACGAGGTCGGGTGGTTGCATGCGAAAGAAAAGCTATTGGGAATGCGCGGTTGTACTTTGAGAGTTGCCCTGACCCCTAACCCCAATCCTAATCTCTGACTCCAACCCCTTACCCTAACTCCCAACCATAACTCCAAACGCCAACCCCAACAGTATTGTGTCCACCAGGTGGGGACACATAACCACATCTTACCCAAGATAACGCCGATGGGGGCATCGACATCTCAGCTCCAATTGGCGACACACTGGGCACTTGAACCCGGATCCCATCGATCATGGGGATTCAGAGTACGGGTGGGCAATAATTAGTGAACTAAGAGTCTACAGCCAGGAATCTTTATTGACAAATACACGGACGCTGGGATCATCCTTTTCAGCAAGTGGGTATCCGGTATCGTTGGCTGATGACTGCGAAAAGGCCGAAAATGCCCACCAAAGTCCGCACTGTTGCTGGGTGGTTTCAAAGGTGTTTATTTGTGTGTTAAATTAACGAACTGTCCAGACCTGGGAGAGGCGGATCTTAATATGCCTGCTTCTGCCAATGGAAGCGAAGAGACGAGTCCCAGGAAGTAGTCTTGAAGAGGGAGATACGATCGCTGGGACAAGAGCTTTGTTAGCCTGACGTTTCGGATTCCTGCTGGATTCCAGCAGGCTAATAAAGCTCTTGCCCCAGCGATCATGTCTCCCGCTTCATGCCTGCTTTGGTTTTTTGTGCCCAGACGGCGTGGTGCCGGAAATATGCTCTCTCCATCCCGTCTATGCCGACTGAGTTCGTCGTTCGTCCGAAAGTATCGCTGGGGAAATTTATACAACTTTACCATCTTTTTGAGTTCCAATCGAGATATGCAAGGTCACCAGAATTTGTCCGTCCGCATGCTCTAAGGAGTATACGGTCTGAACAGATTGACCAGAATCTAAGTGACGTGGCACAACAACTAGGCATCGGAC